CATTTGATTCCTCGTCTAGTTTCGGACAAAATGGCCATCGTCGGGAGAAGAAATATTTCTGCTTGCTGGTAGCAGTAAACTACAGAAATGAATGTCTTGATGGAGAAAAGGAAATTTTGTTTGTAGTTTTCATTTGTTTTTTTATTTTTGTATCTTTTTAACATGAATCTTATAACATTCCTTGTGTTAATCAAACAGTCTCTTTTAAGTTGTTATTTGATATAAGAGCTGGATGGATCTATGCTTCTCTGAATTCCCCTGGTCAGTTTGACAGTTTTTTGGGTCCTGTAGAGGGTATGTGTCCCTGTTTAGTGTTTGTATGTGTGTTATTTGGTTCTTAGGGAGTGAGTGAGTATGATATGTGTAAGCGTGTGTATTGCTGTGGGAGTGTGTTAACATTTGGCTCATTAGGGAGTGAGTGAGTATGATGTGTGTAAGTGACTATAAGTGTACTGCATCGATGAAAACGAGTTATTCAGAGCGAACATACATCCAAATGTTTCAAGCCAGGATCGAAATACAACGGCTTTGGTGTTAGTCAGAGTTTCTACAACTCATCTAGCATCCTTCAGCAGAGAGAAACAACTAACTCTTGCGTATTGTTTTCAATGATTTAAACAAACACCAGTCAGAAGGGTCCAATTAGTTTTACAGAAGATCTTTGCATTAGCGATATATATATATATATATATATATATATATATATATATATATATATATAAAAAAAAAAAAGAACAGTAAGATATATAATCCGGTGTTCTTATAGATATTATATATATATATATATATATATATATATATATATATATATATATTTTACACACAGATATATATATATATATATATATATATATATATATATATGACACAGACATACACACATATATATATATATATATATATATATATATATATATATATATATATTTTAGACACAGACATACACACGCATATATATATATATATATATATATATATATATATATATATATATATATATATATATATATATATATATATCAGAAGCATCAGAATTTCTTGTGAATCGGAATCTCTCCATGAACGAGAATTTTTTTGTCGGCCCTATATATATATATATATATATATATAGTTTTAAAAACAAGGAATGCATTGATTTTAATTTTAAAGTCTCTAGGGCCCTTTCAGCCAACATCTCAACAGGAGACAATCGTTGGATCAGCGAAAAGAATATTAACGATAATGAAGAGCAAAAGAGGGGAAACACATTAAAATAACAAACAAGTATATATACTTGTAACGAGGGAGGGAAATAATCGTGTAAATAAATTAGCGAGGACAGTTAAAATAAAATATCCCCAACAGATTAAGAGACTACAAATTCTTTCTGCCGGCAGAGAGAAGTTTTCCTTAATCCTATACAGACCGATTCCAAAATCTTCAAATGATTATTGGAATCGGCTGTATGAATAATTTTAAACCACTCTTTTTGAAACAACTTGGCGCAGGCTATATTCTCAACTAAATGTTGAGCAATAGCCGATTCCATATTCATGGGGGAAAGATAGCATATTCTATCTATCTTACCAAGTCGTATTTTGGAAGGTACGTGCTGATTGATTCTAGTTTCCAAATGCAAGTTTGTACGCCCCACATAATCAGCAGCACACTGGCAATTATATTCATATACTAAATTACTCAATTTGATGTAGGGCAATACATCCTTGCGAAAAGACGGAATCGCAGACCTAGTTCGAAAAATGCTACGTAAAAGCAACTGATGGGAAATGCTACGTAAAGCAACTGATATATATATATATATATATATATATATATATATATATATATATATATATATATATATATATACAAGTGTAGATTGGTGTATACTGAATAATTGCCAATAACCAAAACATACTATTCTTAAAAAGTGTTCTCAATACAGAGTAGAGCAAATAGAATTATTTATTCGAAAATTATAACATAAATATGTTATAAAACCACTACAAAAATAGCCATTTTGTTTCAACACCTATACGTATTAATGTTGTCCTTTTTATGCGTATATATCTATTTTTCTATCCATGTCTGTTTTAATGCCCTTTCTTTCCCTAATGTTTGGTTTTCTGTTCTGTCCATGTTGAGTTTTATTTGTCCGTACAAGTTATATTTTAATAATTGACTAGAATTTGTTCAATAACACTTTCAAACTTGAATATTTCTTGGTTGGTGTATCGGAGTGTCTTTGTCAATGTATGTGTGAGTGTGTACGCGTCTTTATTGTTGTGTGTACCTTTCATTGTGTATGTATGTGTGTTTTTTTTTTTTTAAGGGTCGCGAGGATATTTCCTATCTCGTCGCCTCTTTGTGTGTGTGTATATATCTAAATACGTCTGCGTATTTATGTGCTATAATCTGTATGTATTGTCTTTTGGAAGATGTCATCCTCCCCTGCCTCTGTTTACGATTCATAGGTGCTGTTCAACTTATAATCATATGAATCATTCATACAAACATCCTCGGGTATGGAAATAGATTTGTTCTTGTTTTTTACTTCTGAGGATATCTGTAGGAACAGACAAAACTTGTAAAATCTAAAAAAGACCTTATGAAATTGGAATTTATAAACAGGGATCATATTCATATATGGGTTCGGGGTTAGTGTTACTTATTGATATTGTTTGCGAAGATGTATTCTCGCCATTTAAATCATTAACCTCTATATTTGTTTATTATCTGAATGATTCATGTAATATATATATATATATATATATATATATATATATATATATATATATATATATATATGTGTGTGTGTGTGGGGGAGTTATGTGTATGTGTGTGCATAAAGTTATATATATATATTATATTATTATAATGTTACCTTAAAGTGGTCTATATATATATATATATATATATATATATGTGTGTGTGTGTGTGTGTGTGTGTGTGTGTGTGTGTGTGTGTGTGTGTGTGTGTGTGTGTATGTCATTTGGCTGAAAGTATATGGCGAATTAATAATCCAAAACAAACATCGGACTGTTTATCTCCAGTGTCGTGTACAATAATGAACACCTTATTCGAAAAATTGGAAAAAAGACAATAAAATATATGCATATAGACCTAGTCGTTCTCTTTAATCAAACTTGTCTGCTATAATATACCTTAGTCATATATATATATATATATATATATATATATATATATATATATATATATATATATATAAACACACAACAAAAAGACGATGATTGCTGATATTGTGATAAATCACTGAACTAGCAACACAATTCGAAGCGCTTTGAACGTACCCTTGCCAATCGGATAAAAAATGTCATCACGGAGCTACATCACAAAACAGCTCGAAAAAAAAATCAGAGAATGGCATACGCAGATTTGCGCTTAGTGATTCACTGAACATAAAGAAACGGTAAGAAACATAGGCAGAACAAGAAGCAGTAACGTCGACGTCACCAGCAAAGAAAGACCATTCTCAGCAACAATAGATAGAAAACGAAAATAAGCCCCCCTGCAAAAAAAAAAAACATTAAAAAAAGAAAAAAAGGAAAAGCAGAGAATACTAAAAAAAAAAAAAAAGAAAAAAAAAGCGGAAAGAAGAATAAATAATGAAGCGAGAACGAGGCACAAAACAAGAAAACTGAACAAAAGAGATGAACACGCAACAAGATCAAGGGGACATGTTTATACCGGGACAATCATTAGACAAAACTAGAAAGACGCAATTTGCAAAGTGATTGCGCTGTGTGCGTCCCCATCTTTGTGTTTGACGTGGTGGTGGTGGGGGGGATTTCGTTGGAAAGACGAGAAGAAAAATGAGAAGAGAACGAACAGCGTCAGAGGGAAAAACGCCTGAATGGTGAACAGAGGCATTCATTTACTGTTGAAGCAAATAGCAATAACAGCGTTCGAAATTGCGGCCATTAAATAAATATAAGATAAAATGATAGGTCGAACAATACTTATGTAGATTCGTGCAAAAGTTGGCTGTATATGTATGTATTGATGCATTAACATGCATGTGTGTTGTGGGGCGCATTTTTTTCTAGATAAACTGAGTACTTACTCGTTTCGTATAAGAAAATTTCTTATAAATAGGGTTTGGAGGAGAACAGGTAAAACTCGGACAAAAGAGTTGAACGGAATGGAGTGATTTGAAGATTTGATAAAGAAGAATTATTGAAGATATAAAGAAAAGTTGGAATTAGAAGATTGGGGTTTTTGTTGAACGGGTTGGTAAAGATTAATAAAAAAAAAAATACAGCAAAAGACAATGATATGATGTTTAGAAGATTTCGGGAAATAATGCAAAATATTCAGAATAAAGGTAAAAATCGAAAAGAAAAAGAAAATGCATATAAAGGTGTGTGGGGGGGGTTATAAATAAGGGTGAAAGGCAGTATGTTACATGAATCAATCGCAAAAATTAAATATGAGAAAATAGAATATGATTTTTACCGGCCAGATATGATGTGTACTTACCGGATATGAGGTGTACCATACAGATATGACGCGTACCGGACAAATATTACTTTTATTGGCCATATATGAATTGTACTGGCTGGATATGACTTGTACTGGCTGGATATGACTTGTAGCGCACATATATGACTTGCAGCGACCGGGTATTAATCGTACCGGCTAGATATTACTTGTACTGGCCATATATGACTTGTACTGGCTGGATATGACTTGTAGCGCACAGATATGACTTGCAGCGACCGGATATTAATTGTACCGGCCAGATATTACTTGTATTGGCCATATATGACTTGTATTGGCTGGATATGACATGTAGGGCACAGATATGACTTGCAACGACCGGATATTAATTGTACCGGCCAGATATTACTTGTACTGGCCATATATGACTTGTACTGGCTGGATATGACTTGTAGCGCACAGATATGACTTGCAGCGACCGGATATTAATTGTACCGGCCAGATATTGTATTGGCCATATATGACTTGTACTGGCTGGATATGACATGTAGGGCACAGATATGACTTGCAGCGACCGGATATTAATCGTACCGGCCAGATATTACTTGTATTGGCCAGATATAATCTGTAATTGCCGGATATATCTTGTACCAGACAGGTATGGTTCGTACCCTCCGGATATTACTTGTACAGGCCAATATGACTTGTATTACCCGAATATGTACCGGACATATATGACTTGCACGGACCGCATATTACTTGTACCGTCCAGATATTACTTGTGCCGGCCAGATATGACATGTAACGGTCGGATATGACTTGTACTAGCCAGATATGATCTGTACAGGCGGGATTTGACTTGTACCTGAACGAGACGTACAAGAATGATGGGTTACGCACCGACTACCGTCTGATTTTTGTAACTTCGAGTTATTGATTCATTTAACTTTGGAGATTAATGTTGAATATAATGCCATAGGTCCGGTATAACACGGGAATCAAAACGTAGGTATATGGAACCATGTATCCAGTTTACACGAGAATGTAAATGATAGACATACGCCGGTTTACACGAGAGATAAAACCCTAAACATATCCTGACACTGGATTCCTATAGGTAAAACATTTTATATATAGCAATTCGAACCAAATAGTAACAGTTCCTTCTTTTACATAGGTGCACGGACATTGCTGATCTTCTAAGAAACACACCAACACAATGTCGTGATGCATTTTCTTGCAGAGCCTATGGATAGTAATACTTCTCTACAATACATCATCTAACATATATAAGAAAAATCATTAACAACGGGTCCATTGGAAAGATAATGAGATAAAAGCGCTTGAGAAAATAACAATTTCAGAGAGTTTCTGCGTCCCGTTCATCCTTGTAAAAAGAAAACTGTAAGATCATTAGAAAAACTGGGTATCATTCGAAAAAAAATAATAAAAAATCTTACGAGATTCTGCTGTTCTATCAGAGCCAATGAAACACGTTTAAAAGAAGGTTCTCTGCTCAAATACAATATATATTTGTAGTAAATATTGAAGTCAACACCCAGCGGCGACATTTTGTTTCATGCTTAGTCACAGTTGTCAAGTAAGACGATTGCGTATAAGCAGGAAACAGACCAGTCACCGCTGGGTGTTGAATTCAATGCCCACTTTTATATTTTTATACGCTCTGTACCTGGTATTGAGCACTTTAAAAATATATATATATATATATGTGTGTGTGTGTGTCTCTGTGTGTGTGCATTCGACTTGTTAAACAAAAGTTATTACTAGTGAAACCTTCTTAATCAATGAAAGTCAAGCACAAAAATGAAAATATCAGAATTATTTAAATCATTCTCTACATATCTCATTCTCTGATGAAGCTTTAATGAAAGTGAAACATAACGGATTGATAAAGCTTCTTATTTGTTCTTTAGCTTATCGTTCTGTTGGGTTCCGATTCATATATAATATGTATTATATCCTAGCTGATATATATATATATATATATATATATATATATATATATATATATATATATATATATATATATATATATATATATATATATATATATATGTATATATAATATTTGTGGTAAATATACACATACATATGCAAAGAATATAAATATATATCCATACATACATACACATGCAAATATATCTGTATACATATATATATATATATATATATATATATATATTCTAAGAGGATAGAATCCAGGTAAAATTGAATGTCCAGGACAGAGTAAGGATATAATAAAAAGGCTCAAACACTAATATTCCATGGTTATAATTTATTCCATTGGAATCGTAAATACGATCCAATTCAACAGAGCTAAAAATTCAAAAGAAAACAGAAAAACCAACTCCGGGAATAAAAAATGAAAAAAAAAATCAAATAAAACTGAAGGGCATTTCTTAAAAGAGCCGCTGTGTCATTAAGAAAATTTGATAAAATTAATATCGACTACAGGTTACAAATCAAATATAGACATATAAAAAAATAAATATAACGTTTATCTAATCTAGCAAGGACTTATATTTCTATACACACATACACAATAACATATTTAAATTTACACGTACATACATACGTATAGGCGTGTACACACATACACATATACCCATGTACACATATACATATATATTCATATACACCTCTCTCTCTCTCTCTCTCTCTCTATATATATATATATATATATATATATATATATATATATACATGCATATATGTATGCATATACATACATAAACACACACACATATATACATATACACATACATCCATACACATCCTCCTACATATATATATATATATATATATATATATATATATATATATATATATATTTACATTTACATATACAAAACGGACATACACATACGTGCACATAAACCTTACATCTCCATACAATTACATACACACATCTAAACAAATAAACAATGTATCCCTATATCTATCCACATAATATATACATATATACATATACATATATATATATATATATATATATATATATATATATATATATATATATATATATATATATATATATATATATATATATACATATATATATATATATATATATATATATATATATATATATATATATATATATATATATATATATATATATATATATATATATATATATATATATATATATATATATATATATATATATATGTATATATATATATATATATATATATATATATATATATATATATATATATATATATATATATATATATATATATATACAGAACATACATACATATACACCCATATACATATATATATATATATATATATGTGATTCTTAAATTATAACACCCATATATATATATATATATATATATATATATATATGATTCATAAAGTTAGAAGTCCAGTTTTCTTGAAATTCAAGAAGAGAACCTGATATTACTTTAATCTGTCCAGCTTGTTTTTATTCTTTTGAAGTCTGTTTCATTGAAGGTAACATTACGTGTACTTCCTCGACCCTCCTGTGTAGTATCACAGCTTCTGTACATAATGTGATACTGCATTGTCTTTCCTAACAAGTAGGGCCTTACGGGGTTTGAATTCAATGTTTTTCTTCTCCTACACCTGTTGGCTAAACAAAGCCAGAGAGCACAATTTTCCCTGTTATTTTCCCGACGCATCTTGTACAAGATATGGATTTAAACCATGCCCATGGGTATTTTTGCCAAATCGAACGCAAATGTCTCGTCAGCAATTTGAACTCAACACACCAATTCAACATACGATACACGATAGGCTCTACGCTAAACGCATATTCAGGATAACTTTGCATAACTGGGACGCTTATTAAGAGAAATTTTTGAATTAATTAACTTGGGGTTCACTGCAAGTTAATGAAACCGTGGAATGCGAAACTGCGTATAATTTAGCTCATGTTTTACGTAAATAGTTACTAATTATTTTTAATGCATCTCTGTGATTATGTAATTATAAAAATATCCTGATATTTACTCATTTAGTTCGGTCCAAAGAAAGAATTGTACGACATTTGAGAAGAGTCTGTACACCTTCAAATCAAATGTCGGAATCAATGGCTCGCTGATGGTGCTGCCAGTTAAAACAAAAACGCTCTCTGAGACGTGTCATTTGAAAGTTTAGCTCAGCCTAGAACCGAAAACAATGCTTAATTTGAAGCGTAACACCCGCTCGCAGGTCGCAGTAAAAATTTCCAAAATACTTACATTTATGTGTAATTGAACATGCCCCATTTAAATCTGGCTTGATAAATTTGATGAAATCTACCGTTTTAGAGTTATCGACAGTGAAATTTGGGATTCAATCACGTCGTTGACGGCAGCCATTACTCGCGTTGTTTGCATAAATTCGCCGCGGAAAGCTAAACGCGAAAGACTATTGAAAGCTAAGCTCGGAAGTGATCTTTCTCGTCTAAATTTGTCTCAATTACTGCGCACGAGAACTATTTGCGTACACACGCTCAGTCTGCGCAATGATACCTACACTGATAGCTATTCTGCAGCGAATATATACAAACAACGCCAGTAATGGCTGCTTGCGACGCGAATGAATCCGATCTTGCTTGCACTGTCGATAACTCTAAAACGGCAGATTTTATCAATTTTATCAAGGCAGATTTGAATGGAGCATGTACAACTGCACATAAATGTAAGTATTCTGGAAAATTTTAATGTGAAATGAGTGCGGGTGTTACACTGCAACTTATCCAAAATAATAAAGGAATAGGGTGCCCAGTAAGAAATTCATTTACTTTAGCAAGAATACTTTATGAGATATGCTGGCTAAGTAGTGCTTCTAAGAACGTATCGTTTGTAATGAATTAAAAAGTCACCACCGATCGAGATTTTTATAGAGAGGTCACGCATCGCGCAAATGTTGTTAAAAAATATTAAAATGACGTCTGTATGGAGTCGCTTCAAGCAAATGAATCCTCTTAGTCTAAACGAGGTCCATACGTCTTCGAAACATATTAACTTGCGTTATAGAATCACAAACAAAGATAACAGAAAATATAACACTTGAGGCCATTTTACAGACGGAACAATTAAAATGGGTAGCATTTCCAAGATGCTGGCGTTGCGCACAGAGCCAAACAAAAGTCAATGAAGGAATCCACCATCAATACTGGAAAGAGCATTAGCGGAAGCCTATACTGTTGAAAAAATATTTTTAGAATAAGATTTTTTTATATGTCAACCGAAATTAACACTGGTTGCTTGGTCAGTGAATGCCTAATGTTTCCTTATCAGGAAACGGCTAATATTGCCATATCTATCTATCTATCTATCTATCTATCTATCTATCTATCTATCTATCTATCAGACTGTTCGTATCTTTCTCTCTCTCTCTCTCTCTCTTTCTACCTACCTCAGTCTCTGAATATCTATCAGACTATCTGTCAGACTGTTCGTATCTCTCTCTCTCTCTCTCTCTCTCTCTCTCTCTCTCTCTCTCTCTATCTATCTATCTATCTACCTACCCCAGTCTCTGAATATCTATCTATCTGTCAGACTGTTCGTATCTTTCTCTCTCTCTCTATCTATCTACCTACCTCTGTCTCTGAATATCTATCTATCTGTCAGACTGTTCATGCCTTTCTCTCTCTCTCTCTCACTCTGTCTATCTATCTACCTACCCCAGTCTCTGAATATCTATCTATCTATCTATCTATCTATCTATCTATCTATCTATCTGTCTGTCTGTCAGACTGTTCGTATCTTTCTCTCTCTCTGTCTATCTATCTAGCTATCTACCTACCTCAGTCTCTGAATATCTATCTATCTATCTATCTATCTATCTATCTATCTATCTATCTATCTATCTATCTATTCGTTCCTTATGAGACGTGCTCATTGTACCCATGTAGAGAAATAACTATTTTATGAGGATGAGTTGAAATATTTTCAGTCCGACAATATTTCTCTTCAAAAATAAAATCTAAATTTTTATATGTTTATTTTATAATTCTTCTACATATTGTTCACCTGTTTGAGGGCCATCAGCATTTTCAATTTTGTTTACTCTCACATATGCACCCACACATTTCGTACTAGGAGCTTTTGTTTCCTACAAGTTTTACCACCTTCCGTGATTCTTAGAGAATTTTAACGAAGTTATTATCTAACTAAATGAACAAATAAATAAAGAAAGAACGAAAGAGAAAGAAATGGCTGCAATAGAAAAACTACAAGAAAACGTGTAGATTATTAAAACGTTGCAGTGATGTGTACAACGATATTCGCCATCTTTCTCTTTTCTTCTTTTTCTACGTAACTTATTTTACCTGCTTTTTTCTTTCTTTCTTTTTTTCTTTGTAAGCATCACTTCTCTTTTCCCTCCTTTCTCTCTCACCTCATCCAAATATCGATTTTATCTTTCGTCTTCACCAGGTAATTTGCGCCTCGAGACAAAAGCTTGCGTTTTCCGATTTTCTCTGTAATTTTCTTTTTAAAAAGAAAAATGAAGGGGTTGTTTTAATCCCCAACGTAACAGCACACCATTTAAATAAGATCATGGCAAAAGTTTACCGTTTGACACACGCAATGTATTCAACAATGTTGTTTTGTAAGAGCGAGCGCTAGGTGGTATGGCGTGGCGTCTGACGGAGACGGACCCATAAGTAGTGAAATTACCTGGATTTCTTCCACCGAAAAATGAGTTCGATCCTCTCTGGGTTGGCTAAGATTTGTGGCCGTGTGTCAAAATAGATTAAGCTTGTTAGAATGAAACCTATAGCTAGAGCTAAGTATCGTGAAAATAACAATTCATAGCGTATCCCATTTACGCCTTTACGATTTTTGATTTGTGCTAACGAAAACAGATCTGCTTGATTTAAAATGACCACACGTAGAAGAATCGAGTGTACAGCGTGGTCCGAAAGTCTTGTCATCCATACATATTTTTTATTCCAACGCCTTGTGGGGTATTATCAAGGAAGGAGTTTCACATGAACGATACCAGTATACCCACCAGCCGAAGGACACCGTTAGGAGAACCTTTTAAGCAAACAATAAAGCACAGATCCGTAAAATATCACAAAGGACATGGCGGCACATTCGTTTGTGCCACGAAAATAATGGTGGTCATACGTTTTCGATGTGTGACAGCATCAACGAAAAGTTGAAGAAACTCAATCCAATACGTGTGCTTTATTTTACTTTATTATTTATTCTTCTATTGTTCCTATTACTTTTTATTAGTAGGTGACAAGACGTTCGGACCACCCCGTAGATTAGAACAACTACTTACTAGCAAGGATCAGCCATTACTTCACATCGTTTTGCCATCGCGCTGTAAAAAGACGCCGATAATAATGATTTTGATGCAGCAGAGTCTCTTTCTCTCTCTTCTATATCGATCATATCTGCTCACAGAAAATATCAATATGTAAACAATGACAACATATAATGAAATGGATTAAATCCGCATAGTTACAACGAAATACTTCGAACATTCAGGCGGGTAAATGTAATTAATAATGTTTAATTAAATAACAAAGCTTTTACTTAAATAAATTGTATCTACAGAAATAACGAACAAACAGAAACTATATTAAATAATAGTGGGACTTAATCCATTTAATTATATACATACATACATACAAATATATATATTAATATATATATTATTATAATTATATATATATATATATATATATATATATATATATATATATATATATATATAAAGACATTTTTATGTTTATACATTCTTCTTATAGATACAAATTTTTAAGTAAATGCTCTTATTACGATAAACAGTATTAAACGACATTTAACGGCCTGAATGTCGGAGAAATTTTTATATTCGTCCTCCGACAGGATATTTTCTATGAAAATTTCTCGGACATTCAGGCCGTTAAATGTCGTTTAATACTGTTTACTTTAAACTGAGCATTTACCTAAATATTTGTATCTATAAAAATTGTATTTTGCTTTGATAAAGTCCACATTGGACGAAATGCGTCAGCAATTACCAGTTTTCCTATTGTCATTTTTATTCATAAATATATGATATTATTAAAACTTTTTATCCTACCTTCAACACCATCACTTGAGAAGACACAGCAAGTGTTGAAACAAAATGGGTATATTTGTAGTGATTTTATAACATGTTTATATTATAATATTTGAATAATTAAATATATATATAATTATAATAAAATATAATATATATATATAAATATGTGAATATGCGTATATATATATGTGTGTGTATGTGTATGTGATATATATATATATATATATATATATGTATATATATGTATATATATATATATAATTTAAATATTATATATGTGCGGTAATTATTAGAAAGCGATCAATATCAGTGATAGAGCTATCATACTTTCTTGTAGACATCCATGCATCTAAGTATATAAACGCACACACACACACACATACACACACACACACAAACAAACACACACACACACAGATATATATTGGCAAACTGCCTTTTCTAGAAACATTTTCCTCGGAATTGTTCTGACGAGTTTTCCCTCTTGGATACCTCAAAATTTACGAATTTAAGTGCAATACTTGTTTGCCAGGTAGGTCTCATCATTTTACTTTTGAAATAGATATAACCGCAAGTTCTATTGTAAGAGTTTCTTCTCTTGGTTACATAATTGCCTAAGTGCACGCGACTTGAAATTGTAAACTTATAGACTGTTATATTCTGTCTTTTACGACTGTGAATGTAGATACCATCTTAAAGTCAGATTTATAAATAAATTTGTCTGACGAAAGCAAACTTGTAAAAACTGCAGATACACATTGCTGAACGAGGTTGTTAGTCATTTTTGTCAGTAATAATGCTTCTCTAAGTGTGACTTAACGAGAGTGTGAGTCGGATACACTTTAAGTGACAATACAAATTCATTTGAATAGGGAGAACAAAGAATCAGACTGGGATTACGTTGTCCTCTCCAGCGATAAAAATTGGTAATCTTTCAAATGAAAGAAATTCAATTAAGCAAAGTCACCAGAGAAGAAAAGGTATTATTTTCGTGATTCTGACAGCATCGTGAATTGTTCGAGCTCTGTTAACAAAGAGGGGGATTAAAAATAAAACGACTATTCCCGGTTAGAATTTCTGGAGTTCGGTTAACAGGTCTGGTGCTAAATTCCAGGAAACTGAGTCGTTGTGCCTTCTTGGGCTAACGTTTCCAACAGACATGAAGTCGAATCATTAAATTGATCCAATTCCTAGGTCGGGTGCTAGGAGACTTGGTTAAATGTGCTATGATAGAGATTTTTTCATGCCCGAAACTAATTTATACATTTATATGTCGACCATTCTTCCATGGAGCCAAATCTGGTCTGTTGCTTCTTCTAAATATTCAAAGAATCTTTATAAAATCCAAAGAATATTATGCAATGTTACTGGCATCTCGGCTCCAGTCACTTTCCCAACAACGCATCTTCCCTCTGCTTTTTCTAAAAATATTTTCCTCGAAATTGTTCTGACGAGTTTTCCCTCTTAGATACCTCAAAATTTACGAATTTAAGTGCGGTACTTGTTTGCCAGGTAGGTCTCATCATTTTACTTTTGAAATAGTTAGATATAACCGTAAGTCCTATTCTAAGAGTTCTCTCGCACGTGGAACTCTTTTCCTGCCACTTACTCTCCAGTCAAGTTTGATTATCAAAGATTTTAATGTAATATAAATTTTATATTCAGTCTTTTAATTCCTATACTTTCATTGTTGAGAAAACAAAATGTTTTTCTCTTTCTTGTATTCTTTCACACTCAGCAACCCATTGCGTCTTAGTGGCTTCATTTTTCCAGTTGGGGGTGAAATGATTAAAAAATTATCATTTATATTATCTAGACTAATCTCAGAAAAATAACTTCATCTTCGTTGATATTATCACAAGGCTTTGATCGTTGTATTCTACGGCCTTCTTCGGTGTCAATCGATCCAAGTAACCTTCAGGGAATTTCAAAATGATCCTTTTATGAGTAGCAAATATATATTTTCAGCTTTTTTTGCCCTTTGATATGGTTGTTTTTTTTTACGCATATTTTGATATACTACCTGTATGATAATATCAAGGAAGCATTTAATATTTTACCCCCGCCACACACACACACCAAAAAAATTCCATTATCATATCATGTTTTCTTGTGGATAATTCGAGAAATATTTAAACCTAAAGAGGAAGATTCATAGAGACAAGTACACGTTTTTTAGAGAATTTTTCACAGCTTAAAAAATTCTCTTATTTGAAATAAAAAGATTGTAAATACATTCAGTTCGCTTAAGAGATAATATGACACAATAAGAGAAGTGATGATAAGGATTGCTTACAAAAGGTATTTAATATGTTGGCAATGTTTGTCCTTTGGGAAACAACGTAATCTTTAAAATTAGAAAAGCTAGCTTATATTATGATTTTTTTTTTTGTTTTCTCTCTTCATTTTTAATGAAGGACAACATATTTTTTATTTACATATTTTATTAATAAAGTGAAATACCGCCGAGAACAAAGACGTCCATGTTTGAATATATTTTTTTGCAACGCTAGAATAAAACCAAGAATAAAATAACTTAACCACCAGGGCAACCAAAGATTTTAACGTGTTTCGCGGTGTAAACTGTCCATACAAAAAAGAAATGGAGGTTTCGCGGGTTAAGGATTAAAAATAGTTATATCCCGGAGTAAGATATTTTCGCGCGAGACTATCTTTACGCATATGCAAATTTTAGCTGTCAATGATACATATAGGAAGAACGAGGCGACAAGAGAGGGAGAAAAAAAGCGGTTGACTGCTGTGGTGGAATGGCTACATGTGTCACGGATGAGAGAGAAGACATTGATTGTAGGCACTGATTGCGTCAATAAGTTTAAAGCTTTTATTTGCAACAACAAACAACAGAAATATAAGAATGAATAACGAATAGAAAAGTATGATAGATTAATTAACACCTTAATTAACCGTGTATGACGAGTTGACATTTTTCCCCGAAAATAAATTTTGAAACAAAAATTAGAAGTGAAAACACACAATGACAAAACATACGGTTCATATCTATCCTTTAACATCGTGAAAAATTAATTATTTTAATAAAATGTATCAACGAAACTATTTTTATGGATAATATGGTACAATTTTAAAAATAAATTTACATAGAAATGAGTGTACTCAAGAATGTAATTTATCCCCTGTTTTTAACTTCAGAAACACGAGTTTCTATCATATCTATATAAAAAGTTGCAGCCTCTGTCTGTCTATCTCTTTGTTAGTTATCGAACTCCTCCTAGCAGATAGACCCCCACAACCATACATATATTGAAACTACATTACCCAG